CCTTACTTCCCCCTTCAGGCACTGTAGCAGCATTAGCAGTCTTGGATTTTCCCACCTGACGCCCTTCTTAGGGTTATTATTGTTCTTAAACCTATCAGGAAGAAGTTCAGGATGAAGCTTCCAGCAGGTGTCCTTTGTATGTCRTGGTTTCTTGCAATATTCACACATCTGCTCTCTTTTCTCAGTAGGGCCCTTCGGTTTCATTCTCGCATGTGCAAAATGTTCTGTAGATGGACTCTGCAACTGCAATTGCCGCCTACTCTCCTCACTACTTATCATAGCATATGCCTGTGAAAGAGTAACCTCATCCCTGGCCAAAATGTTATGTTTGATAATATCAAACTCAGGGCTGAGTCCAGTGAGAAACTCAACTATTTCTCTCCACTAGTTTTCTATACATTTCAGCATCCTTTTTACTCTCCCATACCACTGTCTCCATAACATCAATTTCYTGCCATAGGGATTTTAGTATAGAGTAGTAGATTGCCACACTCTTCCCCCCCTGTCTCAGGTTCTTTACATCACTTTTCAATTTGTATGTTCTGGCTACATTCAATTTTTGTGAATAGGTCTCAGTTACACTGTCCCATATCTCCTTAGCCGAAGACATCCAGAGATAGTGCTGGCTTATATGGGGTTGCATAGAGTTAACTAACCATCCTATAACAATATAGTTCTCTTGCATCCATCTTTCAAATTCAGGGTCTGTCTCTTCGGGTTTCACCTTGCTGTCTGTGAGATACCCGAGTTTTCCTCTACTACAAACATAGATTTTTATAGATTGCGCCCAAGCAAGATAGTTCGTCCCAACTAGCTTAATTGTGGTAACACCAGTCAAAACGGAATCTAATGAAGCAGGTCCAGAAATTGGCACCTGCTTGAACTCACTTCCGTATGCCTCCATTAATCAAACGGAAATCAAAGAACAGAAAACTTTGACTATGTAAACTTACTTGAAGTCAAACTAGAACTTAGGTGCTTGAAAAACTAGGGTTTTGCTCCGTCCAGCAGATGGGAGGAAGAGAGAAGACACTGCTGCACCCACCAGACTAACCCAAACTCTTCCAAACCTGAACCGCCCTCCTTTAG